GTTGCCGGTCCCGGTCTGGTACAGGCACGACACTGAGGGTTGCGATCCGTTGCCGGACACGGAAAAAGACAAAAAGGAGAAAAAAAGAAATAGGATTCTGTGTATTATTCCATAGGAAACTTTCTTTAACACTGTATGGACATCTTTAATATTCAGTATCCAATGTATCCTTTTAAGGGGTTGTATAGTATTTCATTATATATAACAGTCTCTTACAGATGGATATTTAGGTTTCTAGTTATTTTGCTGATTTAAACCACACAACAGAAATTATTGTATTTTGGCTTGAGGTATTATTTTGGTTTGAAATGTATGGAAATAAGTGTGGTTATTGTTAATGTAGATTTCCATATGTCTGGTAGGAATAGTGTACCTCCTGAAATTGTTTTTTGAATGCAGTTGTTTGTCTAGCCTCTTTCTATGATATGACTGAGAGGAAAGTGGAAGAATAAGAGGTGTTCTGATATCCTAATTTTGGGTATATTTGTTTCTCTAATTGTATATGATAAAGTAGCTTTGCCCTTTGACTATCGCTTTGCTGTCAGGCAGCTAATCATCTAAGCCATTTTGTTTAAATAGTTGTATAAAAGTTCATGGCATTTAATACCTCGCCTTTTATTCTGAAATTGTTCTTGGTGATGAAGGTCTTCTATAGCCAGAAAGCAGTCTGATTCTGAATAATCTACCATGTTTTTCCCTATGAAATTCATTTGTGTATTAATACTTGCAGGCCTTAGGTATTCAGGTTTTTTTTTTAGTATTGCTATTTTACTTTTTTACTGCCTTCCTACTCTTTTTCACTGGTATGTTCTGTTGCTCCCATTTTTACTTGAATTGATCTTCAAGACATTCTCCTCCTCCTCTTTTGTTTACTGATAAAATTATTTTAAAGCTAATGACTTATTTTTAAGCCACAATTCTGTAAATTTTTAGTAACTATTTTTTTTCCTAATACTATTTTCATAAGCAGTGTTTAACAACTTTGTTCTCTGAAAGTGAAAGTTGTAAGAGTGAAATGCAATAATTTTGAGTCCCATCAATTTTGATTTTTTTCTTTTTCTTTTTTTTTTCCTTTTTGTCTTTTTTCGTGACCGGTAACGAGATCGCAACCCTCAGTGTCGTGCCCGTACCGGGACTGGCAACCGGATCGCAACCCTCGGTGTCGCGCCCACACCGCGCTCAACCAGTGAGCGGACCGGTCTGTATATGGGATCCGAACCCTCGGCGGGAGCGCCGGCATGCTCCCAAGCGCCGCACTCTACTGAGTGCGCCACCGGGCCGGCCCATCAATTTTGATTTTGATGTTTAATAATTTGAGATCTAAAATGCTGGGTAGTGACATGGAGCTTCTCATTCATGCATTCAGGTTTGAAAGTCAGATTTTGCAGTCACTTGCTATGACTATTTTAGATAGTAGTGATAATGCTCAATACCAGAACATTTCTACTTTAATATACTTTAGGGTTAGCCAGTTAGCTCAGGTGATTAGATCACGATGTTGTAACACCAAGGTGTCAAGGGTTTGGATCCCTGGACTGGCCAGCTGCCAAAAAAAAAAAAAAAAGGAATTTTTTCTTGATTTACCTAATCAGAGACTTAGATAAATCTCTTTTGGTTAGCTATAAATCAGCTTGTCTATATTTTTCACTATTTCATGACAAGCAGTGCTAACTCATGGTATATAGTAGATTAGATAATTATTGAGTGACCAGTTTTTGTTTTGTTTTGTTTTTAAATTGAACCGGGAATCAGGATGAGGAGCGATCCTGCCTTTTCATGCTTGTTTTCATATCTTCTATTGAAAGTACATGAAAAAGGATTAGTAATGGGAAGATGGACCTGGGAATTCGGACTTTTTCCCCCTCTTCCGTTTTGTTTTAGAATTAACAGTGCTTTCTTCTCTCCTGTTCCATGTTATGCGGAGTGCACCTTGCCTCTCTCCTTGAGTTTTAGGATGTTGACCCAGTGAGTTTATCTGCCCCTGGCCTGGAATTTCATGTTTGTAATTGGGTACTTCCCATTCATTTTTCAGATTTCTGTGTGTAGGTCCTAATATAGCTCTTTTTCTTTCCTTATATCATCTGTGTATGTACTTTTGTGTATAGCCACAAAGTTATTTAAATGTTGGTTTCTTGGGATTTCTTTTTTCACATTTCTCTGTGTCTTTATTTTAGGATGAGATTTGAGATTAATCAGGTTTCTAGTTGTTCTTCAGTTAATGGTGCCTTTATAGTAATAATTATTGTGAGCCAAAACAGCTAGAATACCTCATTTATTTCTTTTGTTATATTAAATCCCATCTTGATGTCCAGTTTCGAAATCTAGAATGAAACTGTACTC